CAAATGGGTATAGCTATCCTAATAGCTAACAAAATAGACTTCAAGCTAAAATCAGTCAAAAGAGACAAAGAAGGTCATTTCATGTTATTCACAGGAAAAATCCATCAAGAGGAAATTTTAACACTGAACATCTATGCCCCAAATACAAGGGCACCCTCATATGTAAAAGAAGCACTTCTAAAGCTTAAATCATACATCAAACCTCAGACACTAAGAGTGGGAGACTTCAACACTCTTCTCTTACCACTGGACAGGTCAATCAGACAAAAAATGAACAGAGAAATAAGAGAACTAACATATGTTATGACTCAAATGGACTTAACAGACATCTATAGAATATGCCATCCAAGCAGAAAGGAACCTTCTTTTCAGCACTTCATGGAAACTTCTCAAAAATTGACCACATACTTGGTAACAAAACAAACCTCAACAAATACAAAAAAATTGGTATAACACAACGTACCTCATCAGATCACCATGGTATGAAACTAGAATTCAACAATAATATTAATTCCAGAAAACCCACAAACACATCAAAATTAAACAATTCTCACCTGAATCATCAATGGGTCAAGGAAGAAATAAAGGAAGAAATTAAAGACTCAATGAAAATCATCACACAACATACCCAAATTTATGGAACACAATGAAAGCAATGTTAAGAGGAAAGTTCATAGCACTAAACGCCTATATAAAGAAGTTGGAAAATTCGCACACTAGTGAATTAACAGAACATTTGAAAACTTTAGAACACAAAGAAGCAAACTCACCTAAGAGAACTAGAAGGCAAAAAATAATCAAACTGAGAGCTGTATTCAACAAAATAGAAACAAAGAAAAATATACAAAGAATCAATGAGACAAAAAGTTAGTTCATGGAGAAAATCATCAAAATAAACAAATCTTTATCAAAAATAACCAAAAGGCAGAGAGAGAATATCCAAATTAACAAAATCAGAAATGAAAAGGGGGACATAACAACAGACATGGAGGAAATACAGAGAATCATCGGGTCATATTTCAAAAACCTGTACTCCACAAAATTGGAAAACTTAAAGAAAATGGACAACTTTCTGGATAAATATCACTTACCAAAATTAAATCAAGACCAGATAAGCAAATTAAACCGACCTATAACTGCTGAAGAAATAGGAACAGTCATCAAAAGTCTCCCAACCAAAAAAAGCCCAGGACCAGATGGTTTCAGCTCAGAATTCTACAAGATTTTCAAAGAAGAACTAATACTAATACTCCTCAAATTATTTCATACAATAAAAACAGAAGGAACATTGCCAAACTCTTTTTATGAGGCTACAATTACCCTGATACCCAAACAACAGAAAGATATTACTAAGAAAGAGAATTACAGACCAATCTCATTCATGAACATTAATGCAAAAATACTAAATAAAATACTGGCATATTGAATCCAAGAACACATCAGAACCATCAACCACCATGATCAAGTCGGCTTCATCCCAGAGATGCAGGGATGGTTCAACATACAAAAATCTGTCAACGTAATCCACCATATAAACAAGCTGAAAAATAAAAACCACATGATCATCTCATTAGATGCCAAATAAACTTTTGACAAAATACAACATCCCTCCATGATAAAGGTCTTGGAAAGAGCAGGGATACAAGGAACACACCTAAACATAATAAAGGCAATATACATCAAGCCAACAGCCAACATTAAACTAAATGGAGAGAAACTCTCAGCGATTCCACTGAAATCAGGAACAAGACAAGGTTGTCCACTCTCTCTATATCTATTTAATATAGTTTTTGAGATCCTAGCTAGAGCAATAAGACACCAAAAGGAGATCAAGGTGATACAAATTGGAAAAGAAGTCAAACCCTCACTGCTTGCTGATGATATGATAGTTTACATAAGCGATCCACAAAATTCTACCAATGAATTTCTACAACTCATAAACACTTTCAGTAATGTAGCAGGCTACAAGATTAACTAAAAAAAAAAAAATCAGTAGTTCTCCTGTACACAGATGATAAAAGGGCTGGGGAAAAAAATCAGAGAATCAACAGAGATAGCATAAAATATCTCAGAGTAACTCTAACCAAACAAGTGGAAGACTTGTATGACAAGAACTTTAAATCTTTGAAGAAAGAAATTGAAGAAGACACCAGAAAGTGGGAAGATTTCCCATGCTCCCGGGTAGGCAGAATCAACATAGTAAAAATGGCAAGCTTACCAAAAGCAATCTACAGATTCAATGCAATGCCCAGCAAAATCCCAGCAAAATTCTTCAAAGACCTTGAAAGAATGGTACTCAACTTCATATGGAAAAGCAAACAACCCAGGACAATAAAAGAACTTCTGGAGGCATCATAATCCCTGACTTCAAACTCTACTACAGAGCCACAGTACTGAAAACATCCTGGTATTTGCATAAGAACAGACAGGAGGACCAATGGAACTGAATAGAAGACCTGGATATCAATCCACACATCTTCAAACACCTGATTTTTAACAAAGCAAAAAAATACAAAATGGAAAAAAGAAAGCATATTTAACAAGTGGTGCTGGCATAACTGGATATCAACATGTAGAAGAATGAAAATAGACCCATATCTATTACCATGCACAAAACTCAAGTCCAAATAGATCAAAGACCTCAACATAAAGCCAGCCACACTGAACCTTAAAGGAGAGAAAGTGGGAAATACACTTGAACACATTGTCACAGGAGACCACTTCCTAAATATAACCCCAGCAGCACAGACACTGAGAGAAACAATTAGTAAATGGGACATCTTGAAACTGAAAATCTTCTGTAATGCAAAGATCATGGTCAATAAGACAAAACGACAGCCTACAGAATGGGAAAAGATCTTCACTAACCCCACATCAGACAGAGGCCTGATCTCCAAATATACAAAGAACTCAAGAAATTGGTCACCAAATAACACATAATCCAATTAAAAAAAAATGAGTACAGACCTAAACAGAGAACTCTCAACAGAGGAATCTAAAATGGCTGAAAGACACTTAAGGAAATGTTCAACATCTTTAGCCACCAGAGAAATGCAAATCAAAACAACTCTGAGATTCCATCTTACACCTGTAAGAATGGCCAAGATCAGAAACACTGATGACAACTTATGCTGGAGAAGTTGTGGGGAAAAGGGAACACTTCTGCATTGGTGGTGGAATGCAAGCTGGTACAACCCCTTTGGATGTCAGTGTGGCAATTTCTCAGAAAATTAGAAAACAACTTTTCTCAAGACCCAGTAATACCAATTTTGCATATATATCCAAAGGATGCTCAATCATGCCACAAGGACAAGGGCTCTACTATGTTCATAGCAACTTTGTTTGTCATAGCCAGAACTTGGAAACAATCTAAATGCCCCTCTACTGAAGAATGGATAAGGAAAATGTGGTACATTTACACAATGGAGTACTACACAGCAGAAAAAAATAATGACATCTTGAATTTCACAGGAAAATGGATGGAGCTAGAAAACATTATTTTGAGTGAGGTAACCCAGACCCAGAAAACAATTATCACATGTATTCACTCATAGGTGGTTTTTAAACATAAAGCAAAGAAAACCAGCCTCCAAAACACAGACCTAGAGAACTTAGACAACAATGAGGACACTAAGAGAGACTTACATAGATCTAATCTACATGGGAAGTAGAAAGTAGGAAAAGACAAGATCTCCTGAGTAAATTGGGAGCATGGGGACCTTGGTGGAGGGTTGAAGGGGGGGAGAGAGAAGAGGCAGGGAGGGGAACAGAGAAAAATGTAGAGCTCAATAAAAATCAATAAAAAATGCTCTCTATATAAAGTACTACTGTCTTTCTTTCTATGTGAGGAAACTGAGGCTCAGGCAGGTTCACTAATCTGAACCCGCATGGTAATGGTTGTTATGATTGCAGTGTTAGTGATTGCTTGTTTGTTTCTAAAACACGTACTTCTTTTTTTAATATATCATTTCTACTCCATTGGCCAGAGATTGGCCTTACTTTTGTAATAAAGATCAGATCTATTACCGCTAAGCTTAAAAAAAGTATTGTATTTTTTATTATGTACACTTATGTGTCTGTGTGAGGGTTTGTGTGTGCATGAACAAGGTGCTGACAGAATCTGGAGGAAGGCATCCATTGCCCCAGGACTGGAGTTACATGCAGCTGAGAGTCAGCCTACGTGGGTGCTAGGAGTCAAAGTGAGTCCTCTGTAAGAGCATTTGGTGGCTTTTTGTTTGTATGCTTTTTGCTGTTGTTCCTTCGTTCGTTTGCTTGAAACACAGTCTTGTTCCCTAGCTGTCTGGGAACTCCCTGTAGATCAGGCTGCCATCAAACTATAGAGATCCATCTGTCTTTGCCTCCTAAGTACTGAGATTAAAGTCGTATGTCATGTGCCATCACACCCAGCTACAGCATGTACTCACAGTCTACTGAGCAATCTCTCTAACCTGTGGCTTCTTTAAATCGTTTTAAATTATTCTTTGAAAATTTCATACTTTTGTACAAATTAATTATAACATTCCACCATTGTCTCTCTCCAGCTCCCTTAATGGTCCCCATCTCATCACCTTCCCAATTTCACGTCCTCCTTGGTTGTTATAATAACTGTTGCCCATGAATGTAGGTCTACCTATTGGAGGGTTGGTACCCTACTAGCCAAGTCCCCAAATGACAGTGTTGCTTCCTCCCTCAACAGTCACCAACATCCAGAGGCTTCTAAATTCACCAATCCCTGTAAGTAGTGGACTGCCTGAGAAGCTGTTTTGTAGGCTTTGCCATACAGGTCTGTAATTTGACACGACAACAAGACTACTTGATGTCATTTACAAGGTTCAAGGTGGAGAACTGAGCAATCAACTTTTCTCACAGAGTCTCAGGTGTAGACTCAAAGAAAGCTTGGAAAGAGAAGCCGAAGGGGCATGGCGTGCTAAGTAGTTAGGCAATCTCTTGAACTTTAAACTTCCACATCACAGTGTAGATTGGTTCGAAGATAAGAAGTAGGATAAATTCTCTCTCGTGGATGACAGGACCGAATCTCTGCTTTCCCAGAGGTGCACACAGCTGAGGCCATGGCATTTGACGGCAGCTGGAAAGTAGACCGCAGTGACAACTATGAAAAGTTCATGGAGAAAATGGGTAAGCACTGTCTGCCTGGGCGGCTCAGCGTTTGCTTTCTCCTGTGTGTGGTAGAGAAGGCCTGGTGATGTAAGGCTTCAGGTGTGATGGTGCGGAGCCAGGAAATCCGCATCCACGCTTCCTGCTTTAGGAAGGACATCTTGTCTCCCTAGGGCAAGTGTTAGAGTCCCTGTGTTTTCTTTCCTTGCCTGTTGCACCTATGCAACTGAAAACCGAAGAAAGAAAATTCTAGTGAGCTATGATAATTTCCAGAGTTTAGAATATATGGATTATAGGCAGTAAAAGAATAAAAAACTTTTAATAAAATAAGAAAATAATTTTATCACAACTAATCTTGAATAAATTCTATGTAATTCTCTTCTCTGTTCTATCTAACTTTAGAAATAAACACAAAAAGCTGTGGAGGTGTAATTTGACTATTATTACCAATGTTAGAAATGTCTACTAATATTCTGGCAACCTACACTACAAAATTAAACAAAGAATTATGTGTCATTTCCCAAAATAAAACCCACATAAATGTCTTATACTTTAAGAATTCTGAATTTATGTTTATGAAATTTGTGCATTTTATAATGAATTTAATCATAAAAATCTCTAAGGTTTCTGGTTTTAGATCAATCAGAAATGCCACAAATGTCAGAAAAATTATGAAGCAGGCAAAACTTGGTGCTATCTGCCTGTGATTTTAACTCTTCAAGAGTGATGTGGGAGCATCTTAAGTTAAAGGCTAGCCTAGGCTATGCTGTAAGTTTGGAATCTGCACAGGTTCTAAAGACCCAGTTTCAAACATCAACAACAACAAAACAAATTCAATTTTGAAAGCAGTGTTGAAAATTAGTAAACATCCAGATAGGAACTTGTGTTTCTTTAATATATGAATATATATTATTTAATAATTATTCAATTTTCCATTTCACCTTGCTGAAACTTGACTGGACACTGAAGCACAAAGTTGGTTGTCTCGTTAACATCACTCAGGGCTAAGGTGCTGCAGTTTGTCACTTCATTTGCACTTTCTTGGTTTGGAAAAGCTGCTCGAACCCTTTCTCCGGATCTGCCAGAGCTTCTGCTTTCTCTCAAAGTGTCTCAGTGCTGCTGTGCACACACGACACTGTTCGCTCTTTCTCCTCCACCCACAAAATAAAGATGAACAAACAAGACAAACTTAGAAAGGCAAACACTCTCTGTGACATAATTATTTCTTGTTCCCTCCGATCTCTCTCCTTTCGCAGGCATTAATGTGGTGAAGAGGAAGCTTGCGACGCACGACAACTTGAAACTGACCATCCAACAAGAAGGGAACAAATTCACAGTCAATGAGTCCAGCACCTTCCGCACCATCAACATTGTGTTTGAACTTGGTGTCAACTTTTCTTATACTCTAGCAGATGGAACAGAACTCAATGTAAGACTCTTTTCTTTTTTATAAACAATGCATTCTTGATTTTTTTTTTTTACCAATACTCATGTAGTATTTATCTCATGTAGTGGTTCAGCTAATGCAAACTCGTTCATTTATTGAAGAGGTCAACAAAGTCTGTTCATATTTTATATCGCACACATTGGTAAATGTTTAAATGTAGTATTTCACTGTGATGCACATCCGTGAAATAGCTATACTGAACAGTAAGATTTATAATAATCCCCTCAAGATGGATTGAGTATAGGGATAGTCACAGGGTGTCTCACTTAGGGTTTATGCTGCTCTGAAGAGACACCATGGCCACAGTAATTTTTATTTTTTACTTTTCTAAGGATTTATTTTATTTATTATGTATAGTGTTCTGTCTGACATAAGAGGGTGTCAGATCTCATTACGGATGGCTGTAAGCCACCATGTGGTTGTTGGGAGTGGAACTCAGGACCTCTGGAAGAGCAGCACCCAGTGCTCTTTATCTGTGTGCCTTCTCTCTGGCCCCACAGCAATTTAATAAAATAAAACATTTCATTGGGCTGCTTATAAGTTCAGAGATCCAGTCCATCATCATCATGGTGGGACATGGTGGTGTGCAGGCAGACATGGTGCTGGAGAAGGAGCTGGGAGTTAATGCATCTTGATCTGCAGGCAACAGGAAGTGAACTGTCACTGGGCATGGCTTGAGCATAGGAGACCTCAAAGCCCACTCCAACCGTGACACTCTTCCTCCAACAAGGCCACACCTGCTCCAACAAAGTCATACCTCCTAATAGTGCCACTCCTTATGGGGGTCATTTTCTTTCAAACCACCACACAAGGGAATGTGAAGTTCTGCGTTTTCAGCTCTTCTTGCTGGGAGACCACAAGCTGTTTGTGTTTAAAATATGCAAACACAATAGCTGTTTATAAACGTCCTTGGACAATAAACTTAGAAGCCCGGAATGTAGTTGAATCAGGAGACGATATCAAGCACCAAACTCTGGGTTGTGTTTACAGCACTATATAAAAGCTGGGCATGGTCACACACACACCTGTAATCCCAGGACTTGGGAACTGGAGTCAGAGGATCGTAAAGTCAAGCTTTAACTCACATACAGAGCAAGGTTGAGGCCAGCCTGGACTATATGAGATCTCATCTCAACAAAAGCATTGCTTAAAAATTTAATGAATTAGAGCAAAGGGGACAAGACCATAATGGGGACACCCACAGAAACAGCTGCCCTGAGCTAGGAGACCTCACTGACTCTGGACGGATAACAGGGAAACCTGCATAGGACCAAATCAGGCCCTCTGAATATAGGTGGCTGTTGTGTGGCTGGGGCAGTTTGTGGGGCCACTGGCAGTGGACCAGGATTTATCCCAAGTGCTTGAACTCATATCTAGGTGCACATTCTTTTTGGAGGGGTACCTTGCTCAGCCTAGATTTAGGGGGAGGGCCTTAGTTATGCCTATAAGTGAAGTGTCAGACTTTGTTGACTCCCCATGGGAAGCCTTACCCTTTCTGAGGAGTGAATGGGGGTGAGAGAGAGGAAGGTAGAGGAAGCAGAAGGGGAGGGAGTGGGACCGGGGATAGCTTTGTAAAATGAGAAAAGATTGAATTTTTAAAAAAATTCTTAATTAAGAAAAGACAAAAAGATAATGAGTAGACAAATGTGAAAGTCTAATAAATTATAGATCATTAAGAATGTCCCTTTCAATGGACAGGGTAAAACATTTTAGGGACTTGGGCTTTTAAATTAATTTTTCAAAAAGTATTTTTAGCCTCAGAGTTTCCTAGCCACGTATACTTGTAGTGACGTGTGTGCAGCTCTTGCACATGCCCACTGCAGAGGGAGAGGCCAGAGGAGGACATGAAGTGCCCTCATCCACTACTGTATCTCACTGAACCTGGAGGTAGGCTGATGGCCATGAAGCCCCCATGATCCTCCTGTCTCTGCCCTCTGCAGCGCTGGTGCCATAGGCATGTGTGAGCACACCTGGCTTTGTACATGGACTCTGGAGATTTGAATTCAGGTCCTCATGACTGTGTTATGAGTTCTCTCACCAGCTGAGCCATCAGCCCTGCAATGACAGTATAGCTGTGAATATTTATCACTAATGATAATCCCTTCTCATCTGCACTAAAATTCGGCACATAGCAATTGTCAGCAGAATGGTGCTTAACAGTTCCCAGGGCAGCCTTGGCTCCCGCAGCTCGGGGCCAGTCCTCTTTCTGACTTGTGGGGAGCTGCTCTGTCATTCCACAGTCGCTGCACGTGTAAAATGGGGGTAATGTATTACTCCATAGCGTCTATAGGGCCACTGTGAAAATGTGGGTCTGTAAAACTGGAAATCGTGTTAAAGACATGTAAGACCATAAATAATAATAATAATAATAATAATAATAATAAATTCTGCATTATTGTTGTGGTGCAGGGGACCTGGAACCTTGAGGGAAATAATAGACTTATTGGAAAATTCACACGAGTAGACAATGGAAAGGAGCTGGTTGCTGTCCGAGAAGTTTCTGGTAATGAACTAATCCAGGTAAGTTGTAAGAAAGATTTACAACTACATTCCAAAGGCAAAAATGATTATGAACAAGAATTTTGTCACTGCTGAGCTGTACCTTTAATAAGCAAATTGCTACTTCTCTCTTGTAAATATATATAAATATATGTGTCATATATATATGAGACATTTGTTAATTGGGGAGAGTTTACATATAAGTACATTAATTTCTCCTTTAACAAAAAAGTCAAATGTCTACAAAGCAAAATGTAATTTTAATGGTCTATCCTGTATCTTCCTAAAATGCTTCTAACAAATATAAGAAAATACAGAACAGCCTCTAATGTTATTGTTTTTCTTAATTTTGGACTAACAAATTCTTAAGTGAATTGACACATATCTTAATTATAACATTCTATGGTTGTAAACATCTTTCAGACCTACACATATGAAGGAGTCGAGGCCAAGCGGTTCTTTAAGAAGGAATGAGCAAGCTTCTTGGAGCCCAGAGCAGCACTGAAGAGCTGAACTGTGGTCAGACTTCTCTCTCCATTGTGTTAATGAAAGACAGATTCATCCTTTCATGAACATTGGCAAATTTCTAGTCTTGCCAATGCCTAAAATGTAACAGCGAATTAGAACTTCGTTTGCTTTATGTTCCTAACGATATATATAAGGTGGTATTTAAAAGGAAAATAAATATTGTTCTCTCATTGCTTTGTAAGTAGTGTTTCCTTAAATTAAAAAAAAAAGTTATGTGGTATATGCATTGATGACTGTTTTTTAAATATTTTATTTGTGTGTGTACTGAACTGTAATTTTTCTGAACATTTTTAAATTGATACACAAAATACCTCCTATGGAGCTGGTCTGCAAAAAAATGTTTATAATATAATCGTGTGTTCTTTTATTCCACAGAAAATGGATCAAAATGTGGATTGAAAACTTTCCTTTGAGTATATCGAAATTCTCTTCAGTTCTCTCTCCCTGGGCCTGTGTGTGAGTGAGCCTCACCCTGGCCAATGACAACTATTAGTTCTGGCCCAGTCTTAGGCTAACCACTGTTGTTGAAATAGGAGCGGCAGGGCTGCGTCCCCAGCACCCCGCCGCCCGCATGGCTAGGTTATGCCCAGAAATAATTACACGGAAACTGTATTCTTTCAAACACTGCCTGGCCCGGCTAGGTCCAGTTTCTTATTGGCTCTTACATATTGTTCTAACCCATTTCTAATATTCTGTGTAGCCCATGAGTTGGCTTACCAGAGAGGATCTTAACCTGCGTCTGTCTGGAGTGGGAGCAT